GGTGCGATTTTTTTGGCGACGCCTCAGGGGCGGAGCCCTTAGTATAGTACTGCGATTGAATTGCCAGGAATTCTAAATATTCCACGCACGCATTCCCTAGGGAATTCATTTTTGGCAACACCTTGCGGGTGAGGTCTTCCCTCCCAGCTGTTTTTCAATGACTTTGGAGCTTTTCCGACAGCTTGGACAGGATTATTGTTTGGAATTGAACAAGGTCAGCATTTGAAGTCAGGTGTTTCAAAGGAGATGTCGTGATTGTCTGAATATAAACCGATATGTTTCCGCGTTTGGTTGTTGTTTTTTTCTAGTAGTTTTCCTTCTCTTTATGAAAAGTATGTGTTTAGACATAAACCCAACAGATGAATTCAAGTTCTTTTCAATGCAATTTTGTGAGGATAAAGGAAAGACGCAAAGACAAGGCTTTCCCCGTTTGGTTGTTGTTTTTTTCTAGTAGTTTTCCTTCTCTTTATGAAAAGTATGTGTTTGGACATAAACCCAACAGATGAATTCAAGTTCTTTTCAATGCAATTTTGTGAGGATAAAGGAAAGACGCAGAGACAAGGCTTTCCGCACACTGGGCACGGGAGACTTTTAAGACAATGACAATGACAATTAAGACGGACTGGCTATGACTATATGGTACTGGCTACGTTAACCCTTTAGTCTTAACTGAGTTATATTTTCCTTCTTGAACTGACGTCCCTTGTCGTAGAAATCCTGTGTCTTTATATTTTGTATTACCACATAACAGTGGTACATCACTTCAGCACACATATTTGTAACCGGAGCAATAACAGGGACTACAATAACAGAGAACTGTATAAGTAATTACAAGGAAACTGTTCGGAGTTTCATCAGGTCTTGCACTATCATCTTCTTACAAGTTAGTTAGAGAGTGCAATCGTACCACAGCTCCCATATACACCGATTGTTCAGCATATTCATGGTTTTCAAAATGTGTACATTCTCCTCGATTCGATTTGAACCGTCATTGGCGAGGTTTTCTAAATACATATAAAATAGGTCATTACAATATATACACTAAGATACCGTAAAACACAGGCAATGTATCATCGTTGCCGCCGCCGCGCCGCGTGCCTGCGAAGCTGGTGTGTTACGCCGAAAGGCGGTTATACCGGCTATACAGATACAGATACAGATCGTAGTACAGACGTATGTAAGTCATCCCAGTAATCTTTAACTGGTGTAAGGTTTACTGTGGCTAGCAATGCATTACATAGCCTGCACGTGATGGCTCTGCTACTGATCTGGTTCCTTCCCATGTTTCCTTCTTTCTGTCGACGATGCTACTACTTAATACACATATGATATCAGCATGCTCCTTCTACCATCATCAACAATATCGAAGCAAAATTTTACACAAAGGAGACTGGAGTCAGTTGTCATGATCAGCTCTGTGACCGGGAGGCTTGAGTCAGCTGTGACCACGGCTTCTGGCATATGTGATTGTCCCGGCTATAGCACGGCAACTGCCAGCTAGAGCTTGCGCACTAGCTAAGGCCCATGGTATTGCAACTGTATGGAGAGAAGAAAGGCAGTGTCATTGGTCTGATAAGGCGTGAGGCTTGTTGCTAGTGTCAGGACAAAACAATAGACAGGACTTCACACATTGAAGGTATTTATACATGAAATACACTCCTACCATTATTGTATATGATACCTGACAAAACTCAAGTTTAAATGGCTACCCTCTATCCACGGCAAGTTAGTCAACAGTAATATGCCCCACACCGCGCCTCATAAAGATCTCGGCCAAAACATATCGTGGTGCGAACGTCACAGCAAATGGTGACATTTCCTAAACAATTGCAAGTCATCGAAAAGTAGAAAACAGTTGAAGACAAGGCTGATATAGAATGTGCGTCAAAAGTACACTTGACATGACAGCTGTGAACTGCATAAGTAGCAGTCCTTCCGCGCTTCATAAATTAACTTAGCCAAAACTGGCCGACGATACCAAACATCCACACCCTGTAGAATTATCGATAAAAGTACGTATGAACTCACCTTTTTTATGTCTGTATCCCTGGTTGAGAGAAGGCAAAGGGGCTACGTATCTTCGCGCCCGCCGGCCTGGGCAACTGTAGGGAAACAGCGGTAATTAGCCTCGTGTCATTATCGCGGGAACCGAAAAGGAGGAAACAAACGCTTATAACCTTACTTCTTTACCTGTGAATATGTTAAGAAGTGGCTTCCTTATTTTGGCAAGAAGGTAGCTTCGTTTCCTTTTTACAGATTTCGCTTCTCATTGAGCCTTAGGACTCGGCTACTAAAATCTGAAGTTTGCTTAGTATAAACAATTTTTTGGCCCTGCCCTGCAATAAGATTGACACCTAATTCGACCAATGGCAGCCCTGCTTCTCCCAGACATCCAAATACCACGTGTTTCAGAATCTCACACGCCACATGCCTTGCATTGGCCGTGAAAATAGTTCTATGTCGGCAATGTCCCCATGTGGGCCATATGGAAATTTATGCCGGACACGAAAGCCGATCCTCGCCCGCTAGGTTTACGTTGACCAGTGCACGGGGAATAGACCCATTCGACTTTCACGGATCGCATAAACTGCCTACGTCACAGGGGGGACATTTCGAATAAAAATTACGTCACAGGGGGGACATTTCGAAAGTTCCTTTTACGGATCGCATAAACTGCATACGTCACAGAACAAAATAACCTTAAATTGTTGTACAGAATGCCACCATACAAAGTTGGTGCCTGTTTTCCTGTCATTTCCGCATATATATTACCTAGAAAATAGACACTTACCTACCTTTTAGTAAAAAATTATCTGCCAGGGGGGACACCGATAGCGCAAGCCACGTTCGACTTCAGCGTTTTAGAACGACGTTCTTTCGAAATGTCCCCCCTGTGACGTAAGCAGTTTATGCGATCCGTGAAAGTCGAATGGGTCTATTAAAAAAAAAAAAAAAAAACGGGGTTTCCTTGTTTGTATCGCACGGGCCACGCTCAAACTCTTCCGGAATTGACCAATCAGAGCATCCATGTGCTCTCTTCTCGCGTCCTTTTCCACAAGCAGGACGGTTTCAGTTTATCGAGGGCGACAAGACAAGTTTGGCTATCCTGTCTAGAATGCCCCCACACACATTGCAATGGACACCAAAGGCAGATTTTTCAAATCATTATTGTGGGAAACACTAAAGTAGTCCAGGGCTGAGCGTTACATTTTCATACCGTTACCATTTGCTTCAAAACAGGGTGTACATTTCATATTCAAGTCAAAGAAACGTAGAATTCAGCTGTAGACAAGGCTGATATGTCCAGCGCAAAACATTGACACGTTTCACAATCAAAGCCACACAACCACTGAACAGGCCGGGTGGTTACAGGGGAGAATGTAAGTCTTCTATAAAGTCTGCCCTGAAAGTCTGCTATAAGATGAACGATATCGATCCGAACTGTGAAGTCGTCATCAGGACTTCACACACGGAAGGTTTCTATACATAAAATACACTCCTACCATGATTGTATATGATACCTGTCAACGCTTCTGTTTAAAAGTGTACCCTAAATAAAAGCACGTATGAACTCACCGTTTTGGGAGTCTGTTATCGCTGGTGGAGAGGAGGGCAGTTGTTCTCAGTGGTCCGGGGTACGGCCACGCGGAGTGCGGGCTCGTCTGCGGGTTCGTCTCGTCTAACAGTAGAAGCGTTAGTTGAATACGTTCAGGGTTTCAGTTGTAAGTATCGTAGATACGGCAAATAAGTCAAATAGTTTGTCAGTTGGACTACAACGAAAGTTTAGTACGTCCTCGCGGGTAGCTGGCGACCGACTGACTGAATGTATGGTGCCTCGTGCACGGACCACCCAATGCGGTGGTCAGTCAGACAGATAGATTTGTTGCTATGGCAACTGTCGCGACGGACTTACTGGGAAATAGCCTCTCTTCCGGTTTACAGCAAAACCCCTATTTTGCCGGGCAAAAGGCCTTTAGCTTCCAAACTCACGGAATGACAGAAAAGCATGTGCCATCCTACATGTCCTACAGTTTTGGAAAAAGGTGATATGTAAATATTCAAAAAAAGAGAGAATAGCTAGACTTCTGCACGATTATCTTATGAAAGAATGTTTTCTGCAAAGTCATCTTAGTTTGCTTGTGAGAGAGGTATAACCATATTTTATTTCATTTAGGCCACACCGATTTAATTTTATGGATGACATCCGCGCGCGCATTGATTTTCACCCGATCTCAAAAAAAAAAAAAAAAAAACACATCTTCTGAGGCTCTGGACTGGCTTTAGGCCTGGGTAGTCCATGGTGGTGATAATTCTGGTGGACGGCACCCAGACTACGGAAGCCCCAAGACTCAAGAACATACGTACAGTGTCGATTCATCAATTCCGCAAAAATCCAGCATGTGTCGGCCTGTCGTATACGTCGCTATGTAATGCGCCAAATTCACAACACCAGCTTTGTATTCCTGTGGTTTTATATATATAATAGTAGCATTTTTATTTTTGGCTGGATTTTTCTCTTTTTTCGCCCGCACGCACTAGTTTGGGGGTCTTCAGAGGATGTCATCCATAAAATTAAATCGGTGTGGCCTTACTGTATCATAATGTTGTGTAGCGTGTTCATTTTTTTCTCTACAACTATGCCCTGAACATCTGCTTGGAGACTTCGCACACAGTAAAATCCGACCAATACAATCTCCAAGTACATACAGGGACCTAATGTTTGTTTTACTAATTTTCAGTGGGTCTGTAAGCATTCACTCGAATATCAAACAATGGAACAGATACAGAGAAAGGGACAACCCCAACTATACCCTCCCCCGAACATCTGTTTGGAGACCTCGTAAACAGTAAGATCCGACCGACACAATCTCCAAGCAGATACAGGGACCGAATGTTTCTAGTCAGTCTGTAAAATCATCTGAAGATCAAACAATGGAGCAGATACAGAGAAAGGTACAACCCCAACTATACCCTCTCCCCGAACATCTGTTTGGAGACCTCGTAAACAGTAAGATCCGACCGACACAATCTCCAAGCAGATACAGGGACCGAATGTTTCTACTCTGTAAAATCATCTGAAGATCAAACAATGGAGCAGATACAGAGAAAGGTACAACCCCAACTATACCCACGAACATCTGCTTGGAGACTTCGTACACACATATATAGTGCCCTAGTAAAACCCGACCACTAAATTCCCCGGCCCTTTCAATATGCAATGATATTATATCGTACAGTAGCACGAAGTAGGTACTGGAAACACATGCTTTGCTAATGTAACGTAAACTCGGGTATCTCTTAGTTCTTGGTGAGATGCGGATAGCCACATGGACGAACAAGTGAGGCTGACAGCAGCTTCAGGTAAGTTGAAAGGAGATTGAACGATAAGTGATTCCATAGACACCCCCATGAAACTCCTTCCTCTTCGCCCCCGCCGTTCTGCTTCGCCCCCGCCCCGTTCTGCTTCGCCCCCGCAAAAAATCTGCTTCGCCCCCGTCGTTCCTCTACGCCCCCGACGCAATTCTGCTTTGCCCCGTCCTTCTGCTTAGCCCCCAATGGCGGCACAGCTCACAGTCGACACGAAAATCGTCTGCAAAATAACAATAAAGGCTGTGCCGCCAAATTTAAAGTAGCCCATGCTCCGGCAAACATTCTGGACCACCTTTCTGCCAAGTGGCGTTGCACAAATCCTTCCCATTCAAAAGTTTACCCCTACCTCACGGCCCGTCAGTGGTTCTTACGTTTATAAGTACTGGCGGGAAATTTCACTCACGGCTGTACTTATAAACGCCAGTACTTATAAACGTAAGAACCACTGACGGGCCGTGAGGTAGGGGTAAACTTTTGAATGGGAAGGATTTGTGCAACGCCACTTGGCAGAAAGGTGGTCCAGAATGTTTGCCGGAGCATGGGCTACTTTAAATTTGGCGGCACAGCCTTTATTATTATTTTGCAGACGATTTTCGTGTCGACTGTGAGCTGTGCCGCCATTGGGGGCTAAGCAGAAGGACGGGGGCAAAGCAGAATTGCGTCGGGGGCGTAGAGGAACGACGGGGGCGAAGCAGATTTTTTGCGGGGGCGAAGCAGAACGGGGCGGGGGCGAAGCAGAACGGCGGGGGCGAAGAGGAAGGAGTTTCATGGGGGTGATAGATCATAAGATGCAAACGATTTCGTTATTCCTTTTTGGCGCGCAGCGTGTTGAAAACTGTCACTTCAACTTGTAAACACAAGAACGTGGTAGGTGTTGGTCAGAGGTCACGACCTTTGGCTTTGCACGGTAAACAGGAAGCTATTTGCATATTTCGGTTGAGACCGGGCGTTAGAATGTTTGAAACTGTATGTTGGAAGTAAATACTTTTAGCCGGTCACACATACGACAGTCCTGGGTAATTTCTATCACAACCAGGTTTTTATTTAGATTACCCACATCAGGAAGGACGATTATATGTCTTGTATTGAACAGATATGAAAAACAGAAAGCTCGAAGCCGCGGCGGCTTGCCCGCTGCTCTCTGTACTACTACTACTAACGTTATCTCAACGGGCGCGACCTACTCATGGTAAGACCATGTTGATTTGATTATATGGATGACATCCGCGCGCGCATGAATTTTCGGCCGTTTCCAAAAAAAAAAAAAGTTTTCAACCATACTGTAAATCGTGCAAAACAGTTGCTAAATAAGCAAAAATATACCATAAGTTGCAAAGAAAACATTTAGAAACGATAGCAATGTCGTAGAATGCCAAAATCAAAGGAAAAAAAGACAAGAAAATGTAAAGAAAAGAATTCGAAGAGTATGGGTCGGGGTACCGCTTGTCGGTGCAAGGATACTGCCCTTAAATTATTTTTTACGGTGATTTTGAAGTTATTGACTCGTATACACTATTATACAATGCCATACTTGTTGTTCTGAATGTGTGGGGCGCAATGGGCCTTAGATATTGAAGTATTACGCAGCAGAGCTCTCCGCGATGTGAACATCACGAAGGTTTACATCAGACTGAGCTCCGGTTGTTTACGTTACGCCTTTTATCGGGCCAGGTCACCGTTAGTTATATAGTGCAATCTATCATAATAAACAGAAGAGACATTTCTTGTCTGGCGAGATATGCAACCTTTTATTCTGTTGCATCACAAACCATAGTATCAACACGTCCGAGGCATGGTGTAGGATAGAGATTGTCTCAAATATATTAACATGTGTCTCATGTCAAAAACTCGTGCGTGTGCGAACGAAAAGGGGAAACCAGCCAATCGGGCACAAATTGTGCCGGAATGAGAAAGGAAAGGGGTTCACAAGGGACAAGTGAACACGTTTCAAATGTGCTTTAGCTGGCGGTCTACAGCCCCGCGGACACTCTTGTAATACTGGAGGTTTCCCAGATCGGACAAGTGTAGGCCGTCAGGCGCATGCCCGTAGCCAGGATTTTGAATAGGGTTCTTCCCACTGCTTGAGGGGACCTCGAGGTTCCTAGGGGAGTCCGGGGGCATGCTCCCCCCGGAAAATTGTGAATAAATGAACCTTCTAAAATGGCATTTGGTGCATTTTTGAGAGGATTTCCAAGAAAAAATCAGAGATAATTTTTTATTCAATGACAAAGGCAGCAGTTTTCTACGATTCCAGTCCATCTTTTCAAGAAAAATCTTGGACCTTTACATAAAATGTGGACCAAAAAGTGGACCTTTTGAACCCTT